TTTTAAAGAATGGAGAAATTTCTCAAAAAAACGCAAAAACACTTTTTCCTGAAAAGTTAGAATCTTTTCTTTCTATGCTCGATTTCTACACTTCTACTCGCGCATCGAAGTCTCCCGCCCTCTCACTCACCTGCCGCCTGAGGATGGAGATGGAGTTCTTGCAGCGCGCCGTGCACTTCTGGCCGCGGAACATGCGCCGGCAGTAGCGGTGGTAGTACTCGAGGGCCGTGGAGCAGAGCGCGTCCGCGCCGCAGATCCACTGCGCCACGCGGCACGACACCACCGACTCGTTACGCGTCGCGCGCAGCACGGACGGCCGGCACACCTCGACGCGCCGCTTGGTCTCCTCGCACAGGTCGTCGGCGCACTGGCACTGCAAAGACAAAAGACAACACACGTCAGCAACTATCGTGCAGCATGACAAAATGACTTTCGGGGGGAGAAAGGGGGGGATCCAAATATATTATAGGTCCCGAAAAAGGTTCAGGACGGTCATAATTGGAGTTCATAGGAACCCCATGATATTTTTACCCCGGGGTAACTTTTGAGGATGGGGGATCCAAAAAAAAAGGTCCAGGACGGTTATTGGAGTCCATATCGACCCCATGATATTTTCACCCCTCGGCGTAGAAATATCATGGGGTCCCTATGTCATACGAGTGTAGTAGTGTACATGGTGTAAAACGCGCTGTGCCGTGGGCTGTGATTGTTGTCACACAACCGCGCCAAGTGATTGTAGCCCCCGCCCAAGCAGCTGCTGCGCTCCGCACCGCTGGCTCCGCGCCGGTGCGGTGCGGGCCCTCCTCCTCCTCTTCTTCTTATGCGGCGGCGCGGCGTGCGGTGCGCGGCGACAAGAGCTAGGAGGGCCCCGCCCCGCGGCGGGCACGCGCGACCACCCTGCTATGCTGCCGCGCGCCGCGCACCGCCGCGTTCCGTGTCGTGGGGCTTGCGCCGCCGGCACTTCGCGGGGGTCCTAGGTATATGCTTCCTCCACCGCGCTCCCAGCCCGATGGGTGGCGCGCTCCGATACCTCCCTTCCTTACCCGCCCTCGCTCCCTCTCCCCCGTCCCCGCCCCCTCCCCTCCGTCCACGCCCGCACGACAGCCCCTCCCCCGGTTCCCACGCACAGTAACACACACACCGGTACACGCACACACTACGTATCTCTCTCTCTCACACACTCTTCTACGTTTTTCAAACCCTTGACTGCAAGTTCCTGTAGTAGGAGCGCATACAGTATATGCCGCATGATCGCAGCAGCAGCAGCAGAGAGATGCTGATAATCTGAGATGATGAGGTGCCCAATCCAGCGTTCACTTCACATACCGCCGCTACACATCGGCCGGCTATATCAGAACGGCCGGAAACGAATGCCGCCGCCACCGCCGAAGAGGAAACGAGATCAGAAAATAATGCAATCAAACGAGGATCACTCGCGTGTCTCTCATACAGTATATACCGAGCTCGAAACAATGCACCCCCCCCCCCCAACCTTCGCTCTCTCTTTTCCATTTCCCCATTCCTTCCGTCTCAAAACCCTCATCACTGCGATTTCAGAGGGAAAAGTAGTGATTGCGGACATCAGCTCATGCACCCCGTTCTGGCCGACATCACCAGCGACGAGAACAACACAACAAGGTGCGGTCAGCGCCTTCCTTCCGGTGCACGCTGGGCATGCGCGCTGGCGGCGCGGCGAGCGCGAGCTGAGGACACGAACACGCAGAACGATGCGGTTTTTGTCCGTTTTCCCGGACAAGATGGGCCCCCGCGATGGACCCGCCCGGCGGCGGCGGCCGCGAGTCCAGCATTACGGCCGCTTGATTACGGCGACGTGAGCCCCGAGAGGTTCGCGTCCGGTCATCAGAGGGGGGGAGGAGGGGGGGAGTACGATTAAACGCGCAAGGGCACGGGCATTTTAATATACAGACGACTTGGTGGGTCGAGGGGG